TTGCTTGGACAACTTTCGCTCAGGCCTTGAGATTGGGTGCGAGGGGACGATTTGGGTGCGTCGTTCGAACATCCTGGAGACTCTGATGTTGCCTTACCTCTCTTCACTCACCTCTACCTTGCGGCGTGTTCACCTTTTCAGCGGGAAAATACCACTACAACGATTTAAAACTCCCGTTTGACTCAGAAACCACTTGCTCACACAAACCCCTGCCACGCGAATGTTCTGCCACGCGGCCGGGCACTGTGCTGTAGAGTCTCCTAAGGACACCTGAGGACCGTCGCGACGCACGCGCGACGAGACGCATCGGGGATGGACCTGTGGTCTGTCCTGTGGTCTGTGGTTCGTCACTTGGCCCCCAAGTGGTGTCCAAGACAATTGAGTCTCTTAGTGGGCAGGGAGGATCAGGCATCACCAGGGGATCACTCCTTCTTCACAGCCTAGAACATCCTAGAACCATCTGGTCGCGCAATTCTACAGCTCACTCCACAGCTGTTGGGAGAAAAAAACTCACCCCTCAAACAGGTCATGCTGACACAGGTGCTTCGGGAACACTCTCAGGTGAAAATGCTCCAGATGTTTTGTGGGGATCCTCTTGGGAGTGGATTTTGGGTGTGTGTTTCTATAGAGGGCCCCTCTTTCAGCAACACTGAAGGGTGTTTGTTCAGCATTCTCGTCTTGCGGCCTGTTGTAGGCCTACTGTTCCTCCCCGGACGTGTGGTCCCGTGGGTAGACTGGTCTACCTTATCCAGAGCGGCTCGTCTCACGGTCGGTCGGTTGGTCTCCCCGGTCTCCGCTTCGGTCGGTCTCCGATGCACCGAAATCGGGTCTCGGAGGGCGAACTGGGATCGACAGAGCTGAAGCACCACTGTTCATCCAGGAGAAATGAACAGAATCTCAGGACAGCTCCATCAGGAATCTCTGTACAGAGCTCGTTCCCCTTGGTTCCCCTGCTCGGGGTCGAATGAAGCATATCCCAATCGAAGGGATATTCAACGACGAGATGTTGTTGCCCCCCCCTGGCAGTCCAAGAAATGCCCCTTTGTTTCGGTGAAGCGAGCAGACCGTGTCGAACGAGTCTACGACAGGGACCACTGGACCCATGGTTTGGTGGTCGCGAGGACGGAGATCCAAGAAACCCTGACTGCTCCAAGAAGAAAACAGACCTAGAAGCTGATTTGTTCCTCTATTTTGGACCACCCAAAACTGGATCCTTTTCAATGAAAACAGGTGTCATGTCTGGGCGACCAACTGAAAAGCTGCCGAAATCACACTAAACCCGGTCTTCTCCACCGAACCAACCGGCCAAGAGACTTCTGGGTTTCCCCCCCTACCTTGCACTGCTTTCCCTTTAAGAAGGAAAACACCCACCTCACAGGATCGGCGGATCGCACCCTGCCATCACCCCATCCTCACCCTGCCTCACAAGAGATCTCCCCAAGCTCGTGTCCCGGCACCAGAACCTCCAAGACATGCACCAAGACGTACCTGCTCGGGAGAGCCCCCCAAACCCGGCGTGGTTGAAGCCGCCAAGAACGGCGCGGCAACGCCACCGGGACGGTGGAACAGCGCTTTGGGGCTTTGGGTCGGTGGGTGCGCGCGCGCACGTTTGGTCGTCCAGACCACCTGATGGGGGCGTCTCTCGTTGCGAGGCTGCGAGGCGTTAAAACCACCACCTACCAGGACACCCTATATAACTGTTGTCTATTGATAGCCCCTTAGAGGCTAAGGGATGTCCATTAACCACCCCTTCTGGGTCCAAAGAACCCTGCAGTTTCATGTCAGGGTACTTTTGAGTCCCGTGGATGCGACAGGGACACCGTGGTGCTTTGAGCCTCTCCTTTCGGCACCGACGTCCTCCGATCGCACGTTTTTACCACCCCGTTCGAGCCGGGACTGGGTGCGGGTTGAACCACCATGTGGTGCCCCGACCGGTGTGTTTTGACAGAAATCTCACTGAAGACTCAGGCCATTTGTGAGGGTTTTTCCAGCTCCACAGCTTTTGTAAGCACCGACTGTGCCACGGTCAGCCTTCGAAGGCGGGTCCTGCCCGTCTTGCATGTAGATAGCTCCCAGAACCTGAATCACCTGGATTCTGGACCACTACCAACCACCCAAAATACATCAAACATATGATCCTCTTCGATCAAAACAGAGGTTATGTCTGGGGTGTAGGTGTAGTTCGGCCGTAGCAACCCCCTGACTGGGGCTTTCTAGAAAGGGCTTCTCCGTTTCATTCAGCCCACCACGAGCCAAACATCTCCACAGGTCGGTCGTCTTCATGTCTCACGGCGCACCCTGCCATGGCCTTCTGGAAGTGACCCAAAAAAGCAACCGAAAAACCGAAACCGGAATTCATCCCGCTTCTTCAGTTCGTGATCTTTTTCAAGTGCCTGTGTGACCTTTTTTGTGGCGTTAAGGGACCGAACTAACCGGGATCTTCCATCCTAACTCGTTCTCTCACTCGTTTTCTGGTGATGTCAGGTGGAGATGTCGAACCCGAAAAGCAAGGCAGGCCCTACCAAACACATGCCAGTCTCTCTCTTCAGGATGTTTTGGATGTACATGTACTGCTTTTGATCTGCACAACCGCCAAACCAGCTCTGTAGCTGAGTGGTGTCCAGTTGTGGGGCTTTGGTTGAGGTGCACGAAGAGAGAGGTGTCACCCAAGAGGTGTTTAGGTAGGGACGGTCTCCTTTGCCAAAAATCCTGTGTGTTCTTGTGCCATCCTTACAAAAGGTCATGACTCGTCACATGATATCCACCTCATCACTGCGAACCATCACAGAAGGAGCAGCGGCGGCGTGCTGAGAGTTCTAATATCAGGGGCGAGTGCGAATGCAAACTTGGGAATCTTGGAAAAGAAAAACAAACATCCACATCCTTCGACTGAGACATTGTTCTTTTGTTTCTTTTTCTTGGATTGGCCTGGTGAACTGAAAGATCAACTCTGGATCCCGCATGAAAGGAACACATCCCACATCCCACTCTGGATCGGCTGCACAGCTGGATCGGCTCCGAATCGTTCGATTGCCAGGTCCACTTGCGCTGCGTGTGGTTGATGTGAGCTGCGTGTGGGACATGGGTGTCAAAATCAGGTCCCCAATTGGTGGGACATGGGATTCAAAGGAATTATCTACCTCAACAAGTGGTTACACCTCTCTGTACACCTCAGATTCCTTTTCGGATGTTTGTTTTTTTGGGGGTGTCTAGTCTAGTATTGGATGAATCCCCAGCTGCGTGCGGGACAAGCAATATCACTGGCATCACTGAAGATGACATGGCCTGACATGGAACCATACGTCGTCAAGTAGTCTTCCACCACCTATGCCCCTTTTGTGCCATAAGCTCTTCAGTGATTCGTCTGAAGGGAACTCCATCATCAGGAGGATTGGGTGCTGAAAAAGAAGCCAATCACCCAGGGTCACGCCATCCTCATGTACACTCTTGATTGTATAATGCTTCATGTTGGGTGGTTTACCAAGAGTCTACACTCGTCCATAAGCTCTGAGACTAAGTCTAAGCCTAAGCCAACCCAACCCAACTGCGGCCCGATCAACACAGTGGCCACGAGAGTGGCCTTCTGGAGGCCAAGCCTTTGGTGGAGGCCAAAAGATCTGGTTTGCAGGATCGAAAGAAGAATGTGCCTGGAGTCACAAGACGGGGTGGTTTTTTGTCCCATCCAGTGAGGAGATGTGCTGGGCACCCCTATATCCTCCGTTCGTTCGGCACCCTGTCTTGTGACTGCTGGTGGCAAAAGATCGTTGAAGAGAAGGGTGGGGGAACACCTCCAACGAAACTCTCAGTCTCATCCTCTCAAAAAACAGCTGCAGAGACGCCCCAAGTCCCCAGACGGGAGTAGAAGGCCCACTCACCGGCGTGCTCTTCGGCCCAAACCAGCGGATTTCATGGGGTAAACCTGTGCCACTGGGTGTTCTTCGACTGCCTACTCTAGATAAAAATGAAACAAAGGATCAACTACATCAGAGCAAACTGGGAGCATTGGAACAAAAACCGTCTGTTTTTGCCTAAAGATCCTCCCTGACACTTGAGTGGTCCAAGTCTGTGCCGCCCGTTTCGAGGATGACCAGTTGGTCCACACATCAATCCAGATCGCCTCCACGGCGAGTGCCCTTTCCGCTCTGTTTCCGGATGTTTGGGGAACGAAGGAACACCATCCAGCGGAACGCTGAAGTCGTCCCGATTCCCTCGACCGCCCAGACAGAAGCGAGGCCCCTGCTTTTAAGCCTCCTGCTATCGCTGCTGAGATCCGCATGCAGGGAAGAAGTGAGTTTCCGTGCTCGCTCGATTGCTGGATCGTAGCCCAAGATTTGCGCTGACCTGGATTCTTTTAAAGTGAATTTGGCCCCTGATGCCCCTGCAGCTTATAGTCTTATAGTGAATATCATTCTGCTCTCAGTCTTCTTCAGCACAAAAAGGCATCGGCAACCCATTCTTTTTTCCGGGTGCTTTGTCTTCCTCCGTGTTCTCAGGATGCTATCGGCTTGACCCAGCAGACTTGCACGCTGTCTTCAGAAGGGATGCTGCCACCAACCCATTGCCCACCAACGTCTGAGATTCAAACCTGGCAGCATCTCCATGACTTGACCCCCAGGCTGGAGCACCTTCACTCCAAGGCCCAGATCTATCGAATCGCACTGGCTCCACATGGGAAATGGAATGGCCCCAAAAACACATCGGAACAAGACTACACACCAACAAGGAAGCTAAAGGGAAACGTGGCTTTGGCCATGCTCCTCTGCAACACCTATTTGTGTGTTTCAGATTAGGTCTCGGTGTCCTTTAGCCACAACACCAGGTTGAAACCAATTCTCATGCTTGAGATTCTACATTGTTCTCTGCTCGGGATCTACTCTGTTGTGCTTTGTGATACGTCTGACGAGTATATAATGTGCAATCTCAATCTCCTTCTTCATATTGCTCTGCTGCAGGGTCTGACTCAAGGCTTGGCTTCTTACTGTTCTTTGCTAACCTCGGTTCAACCGACAGATCGGCGGCCATGGTCTGACCATCTTCCCATGAAAGGATCCATCTTCTCTGCTCACCACCGCCGCAGTTGTCACTCCACCGCTCAGAGCCCTCGGATGCCCGTCAAGGACGAGGCCTGGCGGTGTCAGACACGCTCCCTTGCTTTCGTTCTTCCCGGAAGGCCACAAGGCCCCTCGAGCCATGAGAGTCCTTTTGGGTGACTCGGTGGGCGGCTGGAAAAAACACTGGAAAACACGACATACGAGTACCAATGAAAAACAATGCTCGGTTGAAGGGATGTCGCGAAACAGAAACGGAAGGGCGCCCCCTCTCCAAGACTTCGGCTTGTGTGGGGGTGTCGGACAGGGCTGGCCTCTTCGGGGGTTGGCGGCCACACCTTCACATGTTCCAAGTCGCCATTCGAACGACCCGTCAGACGAGCTCAACTGAAAGATGTGAGTACATCGTCCGTCCCTGCCCACAAACCAACCAGGGCACAACCCCCGAAAAACCACATGTGGAAATGTGCACAGTGTTCACGCCCATTTCTGCTCAAGAAGCTGAAGCATCTCCTGTCGCTTTTTCTCACGATCCACAGATGTGGTTGAAGGGAGTCGAGTGAACAAAACATGGATGTAGTCAGTACCTGTGGCATCTCCGTGTCCTCGTCGCACCAGGAAGAATGGACGATAGACAGTGCTGTCTATGATCTTTGTATGTGTACTTTAGTGACGTTCTTAGGATGGTTGGAGAACTAGGAACTGCCTGAAGACGTTCTCACTTCAGTGACGTTCTGAACTCTTGCTTCAAGGCGGAGAACAACAGTAAAACTAACATGTGCATTGATTTTCTCTGTTCCGTAGCATATCTTCAAAATTTATTCAAAAGTCGAACCGTTCATCCCTGCCTGCATTTGTGAAACTCTTCGCAAAATACTCCCTCCACCTGTTAATATTCAAGAATCCAGAAACTGTCAATAACTCTCAATTTCTTGGGTTTCCAACACTAGCATCCTTGCCCATTGGACCCTCAAAACACCTCTCCCAAACCCTCAAACACCCTGCCCTGCCACGCATGTCCCTCCAAACACTTCCCTCCAAACACTCGCAAAACTCCTTCGCTTTCCGCGGCGTTGCGGGCACCGTTCGTTGCGGTCACCGTTCTTTCCCTCCCCTGGACTCCGCTGCGCGACTGGCCTGAAACTCGGGGCGTCCCATGGACATCCCGAGGCCACGCTTGGGCGCGGGCGCGGCGTAGCGCCGCGCGCTGCCTGGCAGAGCGGGCGATCGATCGATCGAGAGAGGCGGTGCGGGAAAAGGGAGACGGCGTCGGCTTCTTCTTTTTCGATAGTGATGTGTTGTTTTGATTCTGTGTGTGTGTGTGTTGTGCTTGATTTCAAGGGAGGACACGGAGCCGCGGAGACTTTGTGAAACATAGGAAATTGTGTTGTCCCAAAGGGGCAGTGGTTGATGGAAGTTCGAAAGATTTCACTTGTTTCTGTCCAATTTTCTGCCCCATTCACCCTTCGCTGGAAGGCCAGGGGCCGAAGGTTTTGCAGGTGATTGGCACTGGCACCCCAAGATGTCTTTCAGACGGGCGTCCATCTAAACCTGCTTCTGGGCATTGTGCCATCTACTATCCATCCACCATAACTTCGAAGATGACGTGCCTTCGTTGGGCGCCTTAGACTCAGGCACCACACACGTGTTCGCACTCACACCAAGGAACTGAAGGAACATCGACGAAGGAAACACTGCTTGGGCTTGGTCCCCATTTTGGTCGAACCTGAATGACCTCTATTTTGGGCCACCAACCACCACCTAAAATATGGTCCTTCTGAGTCCTTCTCGATCAAAACAGAGGTCTCAGGTCTGGGCTCTAGGACTCTAGGTATATCGGTTCCATGGTGCACATGCATGGGACTCCCTCTCGAACCCCGCCTCACTCAAGAGCCACCATCTGGTGGGTGAGGACTGGGAGTTGGGCGTCAACGAGATCTCCAACCAATCCGACTTCTTCCAATGATCAGATATGCATCCCAATTTCAAGACACGCCATGTTTTCAAGGGCCCTCCTAACAATAAGCACCCATCTCCATGCAACTCGGGCAGTGGAGGGTCGCAGTTTCCACTCCATCCAAACCTCGTAAACGACCCGATTGATACTGGCCGCGGGCTGCCTCCCCATTTGCCGCGGAGGTTGCGGCCCGACACGAACTTGTACAAGGCTTTGGCATAGTGCTTTCGACAATCCAGGCTGCTGTCGCTGGGCAGCTCCTGAAGTGCAGCAGCTTCCTACTCAGCCAGGGTAACTCGATAAGCCCTCCAATCATGGCGTGACCCAAGTCAAGTGCTTTAATCCTAAACTAAATCAATGTGTGTACGTGTGTGTATATACAAATAATAGATAATATATGTTGTTGATTAATGATGTGTTGATATATATATATATATGTCATATTGATGTATGTGCACACACCGCAAAGTTACCACGGGTTTGGCATCTTGTCGCCCTATGAGTCTTCTTTTCAGCATAACTGGAGACCACTTTGTCTACGGACCAGGTGTTGGTTCTACATCCATGATCATCACATAATTCTTATCAGAAAATGGCCACCAGCGCCGATCTATCCGTATACGCCACGAGCCGATTCCGTGGGTTTTCCACGCCTCGAAGTGGCGAACGACCTCGCCCAAAAGCATGTTCTCCTGGCGAGGTGGCTCTCGACACTTCTCCGTCGAAACCAGCCAAGGTGGCTCTTCCCAAAACCCAAAAGAACTCAATCGAACCAGGGCGTTCGATGGGTCGAGTTGAGACTCTGCTCGCGTCGGATGTGCGAGACGCGATGCGCGGAGGTGCGGAGCGATGGGGAGAGGAAGGGAGACTGCGCCCTACGGGAAGGGATGAGGATGAGGATGGGTCTTCTTGCCTCACGACCAAGGATCATGTTGACGGTCTAGTGGGTGCACCCCCCTCCAACGGTCTAGGTGTGAAAAACATCTCCATCTGGTTAGGTGGTATACATTGATGCAAATGAGTCCAGTCAATGAGTGGAGCTCTGCTCGCTTCGGATGTGCATCAGGATGTGCTCTGGGCTGTTCCATGGCGTCCCGTCTTTTCAGGGTGGATCCCTCAAACCCCACAGGTCTGTGCTTGAGCCTTGCAACGAGTGGGTGAGCCGTGAGCCTTGACTTCGTACCCTGTTTGAATGGATGATCCTTGGAAAGTCTGATCTGGCCGAGATCAAGACTCAAGACTCAAACCAAACATGGGAAGCGCCAAAGAACAATGAAAGAAAATGACAGAAACAAACTGTCTGAGTTGTTGAATAGTATTTTTCTGAGTCGAACTTCAACATCTACAGTACCGGAATCCACCCCATGTCCTGCCTTCCCTTCGCCCTTCCCCCGCCCTTCCACAGCCGCCCCGCCCTCCGTGCTCGCCCGACAAACGCTTCGCCTTGCAGTCGACGGTGAAGAGGAGCTTCGCCAGGCTGTTTCGATCCTCTAAGTTCTGAGGGTTCTCCTTCCAGGACCTCGGTGCACCGCCGCACCCACGCGACGCGGCAAGTCAGACCCGCGGAGCAGCGACCCAGGCGGCACTCTCCGCTCGAAGCTGCGGCCCGTTGGAAGCAGCAGGCTGGAGATCCATCAGCAGGCTGGAAGGATCCATCAATAGAAACCGGATCAAATGTTTCAGAAAAAGTCGAGGGAAACGCTGTGTCGGCGACACCATGCGACCCATGTGTTTGGCTTGCCTTGGGGATCTTTGCTTCGACCACTGAAATGTGGCTTAGAGAAGGAAATCGGAACCCAGAGATTAGTAAGTAAGGTGTGGCACCCAAAGGCTTGGTCTCTTTAAGCCTGGAGGACCCGCGGGTGACTTGATGACCAATTTCAGACCTGAACTTTTGGACTGACTGGAGGAAGTGGAAGGTGTTCGGAGGTGTTTTCCAACCTGAGATCCCAACCAGGTCCAAAATCAGCAGGCTCCCTGGAAGCCTGGTGGAGGACCAGCCTGAAGGCCCTGCCTGGTGTTCGGTCCCTAGCACCCGAAGACAAAGGGGAGAACATCCACGTCTGGACAGTCAGACATCCCGAAGTCTGGAAAGAACTCTTGGAGGTTGAAATCCAGAAATCCGACCAGAGTGGGTCTCACCATTTTGAGGTGTGGGAGACCCCAAACCAATGTGTTTTGGTGATGATTCTTTCTTCCAGGAGGTCTTTGGGAGGTCTCCCTACAGATCTACATCCCAAAGTCCAGCGCTTCTCCTTCCGCTCGCTTCCCCGCGGATCTCGGGGTCGACTTCGGGTGCTCGTCCTCGCTTCACAAGACGACCCCGCCATGAGACCGTCGCAAGTCCTACATGAGGCCACCAAGGAGACAGTCGCAAGAGTGAACCAGCTTGCAAACATTGTGGTTTCAACATCTCTTATCCTTCTGATAGAAGCTCATCATATTCAAGAGAAAGAAAAGGGAGATGCCCCAGCTCGGGGAAAACATACTAAAACCGCACCCGTGCTGCTGTTTTCTCTTCGGCAACCACCCTCCCAGCCACCCCCAACAATGCCCACGTTGTCTGCCCACGTTGTCCACCCAGGGACAGTGAGCCATTGGCCAGGCGCTCGGTCACCACGAGGCTCTTCTCCTCCGTCTCCAAGACCATGTAGAAGTTGTTGCACGCCTCGTCTCGCACCGAGGGGCGCCCGTCTCGCCGGGGGGCTGTTTCAGGGCTCGCGCCATCCAGGGACTGGAGCCAAAGCCGTGACCGGAGCGGGGTCGTTTTGAGGCGAACGACCTGCGACATGGCCTAGCGGCCATAGAATGGATGTGTCGAGTACATTGTGGTGGTGCCACAGAGTTCCTGGTACCAGTGGCTTCTGGACAGTCCCCGCTGAAAGACGCTTCCGTCTATTGAATACCTGGTCAAAAGGGAGTGACCAACCCTAGTTGGGGAAGTCATGTTTACCCAGTCTGTGGTCTGTGGACAGTATAGGTGTTACACCCACCCAGCCGACAGCGTGTCTGCCCGAACAGGGGATGCAGCTGAGGCATCCAGCTGAGGCGTCCATGTTTGCTCTGCCGGCTCTGCTTGGTAGGGACTCTGACCATGAATCTAGGAACATCTGGGGTTCGTTCATGTTCATTCTTGAAAGGCTTGCACCAATCGGTGTCCGACCGGGCTTTGGGAGGCTGCCAGCTCCTGCCAAAGTGAGTTAGGGAATTCCCACGGTGTCCCTTTGTCCACGTGGGCGCGACCAGAAGGCGAACACGAACGACGACCGAGGTCCATCGGGCCAGCCTCATGCTCATAGGCCTCGATGTACATCTTGCATTTGCTAAGTTTTTCCTTATGCGACGCCTCGCAGACGATCGTCCGTTGCATCAGTTGGGTCCGTTTCACCCGACGACCGTCGTGTGTGTGTGTGGTTCTCCGTAGCTTCTTCCGGTGTGGCCCTGTGGGGATCGGTATCTTCATCTGAACACCCCGTGACCCCCCGAAATGGAGGCGTGCGGGAAAGACATGCCGGAGAATGCTTCATAGTTGGCCAGGAGTTGCATCGCTGGGGTCAATAGTCGATAGTCGATAGTCGACATGGACAGACATACCAGGACTGACCATGCTGATCTGTAAATCATCTGTAAACTGTATGATAATTGTGTAAGTATCTCCTGGTTTTTAGAGAAATATAGCATGTGTACAGTGTACACACGTCGTTTATTTTTCTGGTGATGTCCTTCCCAAGACATCCTCCGACCTTCGCCCCACTTCGCTTCCCGAAGAAGACCGCTTCGCTTCGTGGCAGCCGAGCACTGTGACTCCCGAGGACCAACCCCGAGGCGTTCGTTGACCAACGCGGGAGGTCCATGACAGGATGATCTTGCACTCACAGGCACGGTCCAACTGCACCCCATTTTTCCATTTCCATTGACGCACAGTGCTCGTCGTCAAGCTCAGCGTCTTGCTGACTGAATTCACTAATTTCCTGCAAAGTAGTCCGGCCTGGGTTCGGCGAGTCCCTGGTCTTCAAATGCCAGTACAAGACTCCGGAGCCACTCCGTGGCTTCTTCGAACACTTCAGTCCGGACTGGCTGGTGGTTCAACCATAATCGGAAGAGGGAGGCCCCAAAAGAGCAAAAGGCAGGCGGGTACTCTTTGAGATGACTAGTTCGCCATTTTCCTCCCTCTAAACCGATGTTTGAACCCTTGGCACATACAGCACTGCGCATAGATTCCTCACAGCGCTGTACTTCGGTGAGCTCGACCCCAGATAGCATAAGGGTGGTGGGCTTTGGGCTGTCAGCTCCAAAGAACCCTTGCAAAACATCCAAGAAAACAAACAACCTCGTTTCCTGGAACCATCGGATGATCTGTGTCATCCAGATGGATGGCGCTTTGGTGTGTCGCGTTCCACCCTTATGGGGGTTCCGGGGGTGCTCCAACCATGAAAAACCCCCAGTGAGGGCCTGTAAAAGAACAGCCTTCAAGCAAAAAAGCATCAAAACATTTCCTATAGAAACTCGTTGCCCCTCTCGCTTGGACAGGCTATCTATCCCCCATAGCTCAGGATCACAGCGAACCGGTCGAGGCCCACGCTGCAGCATGTGTGTATGTTGTTCCCAGCGAGCTATGCTCCAGGATTCACAGGGCGGCCCGCCATAGAGCCCTGCAACAAATCCTCCGCGAATCAAGTCATGCCACAGCTTTTGCTGATGATCCTTTGATAGGTCACAGCGGCTAGGGTCTATAGCGACATCAACAGAGACCACGGTCATCACCACACCAGGGGGGAGTGGTAGACTTTCTAGTTCCATCTGGATGTCCCGTTCCCTTCTCCGGCCACTGAATAAATGAAGTATGATCAATTCGGTGGGCAAAAAACTTCTCAAAACAGTATCGGCAACTCGACAACTGATTTCTCGACGACTGGTTTCGTCTGCCACGAGCATGTCATCATGCCGCACATCGTCTTTGTGCGTTTGCCGTCCCAACTCCTCAAGCCAGCCTTGCACCTCACAGCCGGCAGAGAAGATCCTGGAATCTGTTTCCTCAAAGTCTTTTACCCATATCTGAAATGCTGAAAGAATAGTGTCATATGGCACTGGGATTCGGCAGGCTTCCTTCAACGCCAGAATCAAATTTTCGTGAAGGAAAACATCTTCTTCTGGACAAAGGAAAGTCTGGAGTGCTTCTTGGAAACTCTTCTGAGTACGTGCAACATCCCTGCTCAGAGTGTTTGGTCCCTGAAATCTCTCTTGGTTCAGCCTATACCAGGGAAACTGAGGATGCTGCGATACAGAGTCCGAAGTCTGAGGCAAGTGCCCACGCTGTTGTCGAAAAAAAGCTCGACATTTGGTACTATATCTCAGGTGGTGCCTAAGGCGTTCTTGTGTCAAGTACACCTTAGCGCAACAATGGCATGTCTGTCCTTGTACAACCTCACTAGATTCGCTGACATAATCATGCTTCTGGCAGGCATGTAAGAACCATCCTTGAGCCGCTGAGAAGGCCCTCTCACAGATGACACAAATGTGTCGGCTCTGCTGCGTTCGTTCATACGAATCAGTGAGGCCCTTGGACTTAAGAATATCCAGGACTGCTCGATGGGCTCTTGCAGTAGTTGCGGCACGAAGCTTGGCTTGCGTTGCCCTATATAAGGCAGTTCGTCCATAGCGAGCCCACTGTGCTGGTTTCGCTGCCAGTTCCTTCCATGCCTCTCCATCCAGTACATCTCGCACTGGCGAGTCCCGATCCAGAAAGGAAAATGCCCAAGCAAGAGCTTTGTGGTACATCTGCATGGCATTGTCATCTTCAGCAACCAGTGACCACAAAATATTAGGAGCTGTTCGCAACAAGGCCCCAAGATGACGAAACTGGGCAATCCTTATGAGATCTTCCGGATCTTCACAGGTCAAGCAGCTTCGTATATCATCCCTTGATGGTGCAACAAATGATTTGGGCATCATCATGGCATACAAATTCCATGTTGAGGTGACGAAGGCCTGGTGCTCTCGATGGTTGAGCTCAACCCAGGCTCCCACCCCCCAAGTCATGATGGAAAGAACTGTTGACCTGAAAATCATCATGCGCGTCTCTATGGGAACACGCCTCTGTCGGAACACATGTTTTGCCGCCCGCCAAAATGAAGCTCGCGCCTTTGCAAACCTAGTGCGAATTTCTGGCAACATGCTCCCATTGGCGTCCACAATCCCTCCTAAGTGCCGGTACCGAGGTACAAGAGGAAGCTGTATCGCGTTCTCCTCTAGCAAGACCGGAAAGGTCGCTTGAGTCGCAGCAAAAAGTCGTCGCCTCATGTGAACGGCGCCGGGTCCTCTTGGTGAGATCACTGCAGCAGTTTTGGTCTCTCCAATAGAAACCTTCATGCCATATTTGTGCAGCTTCTGTAACAGTACATAGGCAATCAGTGCCAATCGGCTCTCAATCTGCGATGCCTTGTCAAATTCCGCAAGGATTGCTAGGTCATCTGCCCATGTGACTTGAAACATTGGAAGCATTTGTTCAGTCGGTTGATTCTGATACGGATTTCGGTCATTTCTTGTGCATACCTTCAAAAGCAAGTCACTGGCCTCGAGCTCTTTCTGGACTTCAGACAAGACTTGCGAGAACACAAGATTGAATACTATATCGGCTAACGAGTCTCCCGGCCTGGTGCCTCGGTGTGTTTGAATAAACTCATGACCCGTATAGGTGAAATATGTGCCCTCTAAAGTTTCTTGAAGTACCTGGTGCTGTACAGGTCCTGCTCCAAGCTCTTGGTAGGCACATTTTTGGGTCATGCATTCATGAATGAGTGACATCGACTCTGGCCCGAGGCCCATCCGATGCAAGACTAAAGCCAGATCTTCATCGGTCATGCGCGCACCCGTTGCAATTTGCCGCAAAACACGGTAATATGCCGATTGTACGTCACAAAACAATATCGCTGTGCTCTTTTGTTTGCGCTTGCCCCTATCAACGAAAAGTCGACAGACCTGGGTGCCGAATAAGACTTGCTGCATGGGCTTACCTCCTAACTGCAAGGCATCCGTGGCAAACAAGTAAGGTTCATTCAAACGTGTTCGAATAGAGGAGCGGATTGCTTTCCCCAAAACAGACGTCAGCAAAATGCCTCGATGGTTTTGGCAGTCAGAGTGCTGCCCTTTCCCCTTAAATAAGGAGAAGATCTGTCCACCTTTCCATTGGAGCGGCTCCTCCAGGCGACAAGTCATCTTGAGAAGGATTGGATAGAGCACCCTTGCAGCATCACCTGGACTAGCTTTCAACAATTCGTTGGGAAGCCGGTCTGGTCCTGGAGCTTTTCGATAGTGCATCTTACGAATAGCCTTCTCTAGTTCTAGCCGACTAGGCAAATCCTCCACCTGGTACTCAGCAGGCTTACAGGAATCTTGCTGACGCTGTAACATACGTCGAACAAATTCAGTGACCTCCACCTCCTTGCCCGCTTCCAGTTGGGCAAAGTGTCGAACCCACCTGGCATTCACTTCCTCCATGGTTTGCAGGGTGTCCCCATTTTCATCCTGCAAGACCGGCAAAGGCTTAGGAAAGGTCGACTGCTTCTTAGACGGCTGCAGAATTGGTCTGAGAGCTGCAAAAACTTCATTTGGCTTGGAGTTCTTTGCCGCTTCTGCAATTTCAAGAAGAAAGCACTTCCGGTCGGATCGGAGCTGTTTGCGAAATTGGGAGGAAACACGCTTCAATTCCTGCATTTGCCGCGCAGCTGCAATGGAAATTAGCTTATTCCACTCCTGTCCAGCATCTTTAAACCCCTTCCCTTTTTTATGTGCTTTCCAAGCTCGAAAAGTCACAGCACACAAGGAGAAGTTGTCATGCCTTTTCAGACTGCATAAAGCTCTTCGAAGGCTAGTCATGCGTCTGTGAAGCTCTCTACTCTCCTCCGAGACATGCTCTCTATGTTGTCGACCCTGCTTTTTCGGAAAGAGCCTAAGCGACTCCTTCTGTAAATGATCGGTAATCAAAGCAGCATGTTGTGAAGCATTCATACTCCAATCTGGTTGTGGGCAGGATGCCCATATTTCCCTTACCCGATCCTGGTTCTGCGGATTTCGAAGAGCAGCGTCATCAATACGCTTAGTGCGAGACTGTCTGCGAATCAACTGTTTCCAAGATACACTAAGGCAAGTGCAATCATGGTCAAAACCGGCATGGCCTACATGAATGTCAGTGTCAACCCATGCGTCGATTTGCGCCCATTTCCAAGACAAGGGGAGCAGAACGTAATCAATCCGAGATCTCTTACCTGTTGCCCTGTGCGTCCATGTTTCTGGCGGGCCATGTTGTAATGCCTCGAAAGTCGATGGCGCAAACAGACCATTTCTATG